TTCGGCGCCAACGGCTACTGTATTACAGACAATGGCAAGACGTTTGTGTTAGTGTTCAGTCGACACCATCAGCAGCAGCAGCAACGGCCGCAACCGCCGCAGACCTCACCCCCGGAGCCCGACCTCCAGGTGTTCGCCAAACTCATCCACGACTTCAAGTACGGCCGCAAAGAGTCGGTGTTCAGCGAGCGGACGGACGAGTCGTCGGCCTCACAGTACTTCCAGTTTTACGGTTATCTGAGTCAACAGCAGAATATGATGCAGGACTTCATCCGCACGTCTACTTACCAGAGGGCTATCCTCGCGAATATCGACGACTTCAAGGATAAGGTGGTGCTGGACGTGGGCGCCGGCAGTGGTATCCTGTCGTTCTTCGCGGCGCAGGCCGGCGCTCGTAAGGTGTACGCCGTGGAGGCGTCGTCGATGGCCAAACACGCGGAGACACTGGTGTACAGCAATAAGCTCTCGGATCGGATTCAGGTGATCGCCGGCAAGATCGAGGAGATATCGCTTCCCGAGAGGGTCGACATCATTATATCGGAGCCCATGGGGTATATGCTGTTCAACGAGCGGATGCTCGAGACGTATCTCCACGCGAAGAAGTGGTTGTCTCCCAACGGAAAGATGTTTCCCTCCCGAGGCGACCTCCATATCGCGCCGTTCAGCGATTCCCAGTTATATGTGGAACAGGTATGAGATTTTTAAGACACTTTAAGACAGTTTTAAGTGATTGACTAATTGTCTTATTATCTGTTTGTGGGAATAGCTAACGAAAGCCAACTTCTGGTTCCAACAGAACTTCCACGGCGTCGACCTCTCGAGTCTGAGGTCAGCCGCACTTAAAGAGTACTTCTATCAGCCAGTGGTCGACACCTTCGACGTCCGCATCTGTACGGCGAAGAGTTATCGATATACCGTTGACTTCACGAAAGCCGATGAGAAGGACTTACATCGCATCGAAATACCCGTCAGTTTTGTGATGCTCCAGACGGACGAAGTGCATGGACTGGCCTTTTGGTTCGATGTGGCCTTCTTTGGCTCTCAACAGACCGTATGGCTGTCCACTTCGCCCACTCAACCACTCACGCACTGGTATCAGGTATGCCATCCACTCAGACACCACTCATTTGACAATTAGATAACATTTCAATTGTCTGACCCATAGGTTCGCTGTCTGATGGATACCCCGCTGTTCGTGCAAAGAGGACAGACATTGAACGGACGGGTGGTGTTGTCATCAAACAAAAGGCAGAGCTATAACGTGGACATCGAGTTGAGTGTCGAGAACTTCGGTCGCATCGATAGGGTATGCAATTCGCTGGACCTCAAGAACCCCTACTTTCGCTATACGGGTCAACCGCCACAACCCCCGCCCGGCTGTAACGAGACGTCGCCGTCTGAACAGTACTGGCAAACGCTGGACTCGACTCAGCCGGCAAACAACGTGATGAACGGAATGGTGGTTATGAACGGCAACGCGGGTCAGCCCATGAATACGTCGGTCATCGAGATAAACAATATGCAAATCCAGACGAACAATGGCTACCACCAGAACAGCCACCACAGTGTGGGCCCCGTTGGCAGCGGCGGTGGCGGTGGCCATAACCTGATCACCGCTCAAATGATACCGGCGCCCGGCGTAGGGCTACACCAGAATCAGATGATCCAATTGGGAGGCCTGCCGAGTCCGACGGCCACGAGCTCGCGCTCGAGTCCGCACACCCGTACCCTACAGCCCACGGTCGCCGCGCAAGTGCCCACCAGTTCCATAGGCGGCGGCATATCTCCGTCGCTGTTCGCCAGCAACCACACGACCACCCAATCGGTGCTCCATTCGGCCAACTTTCCCGTCAACAACAGCCTAATGATCGGCGACTACGCGGTGGCGGCGCCGCAGACTCTGATGCTTTCGACGGCTGCCTCAGGCGCGGGGGCGCCGGTAGTATACAAACCCCACCATTGATTCTAGTGCTGTGTGTGTTGTGTATTGTGTCGCTAGGGATGACCCGCAAAACCTCCAGTTCTTTCAAAATGTGTTTATTTTTAATTATTATTATTATTTTTTAATTCTCGGAAACACTTCTCAACAAAACAAATACACAACAAAAAACTTAAAGCAATACTAAATGAGAGTTTGTTTGTCATTAAAAAGAGACTTTTTT